GTACGGCTTGGTTGCTGCGAGCACAAAGTCAGTTATTCATTCCTGTGACGCTGACTCATCTGCTTCTTACGTACGTCTTAATTTCTTTCTGAGAACCGTCTCGCCGTATTCAATATTAATCCTGCAAAACCAGCAACGACAGTTGTCTTTAGTCCACAACACACACGCAAAAGTAAGTGAGATACTCAGTCTGCACATACCCGTCTGCAGAACTTTCGTGGTCTCTGTGTACTCTTCTTGCTACCAATAGATCCGATCTGGCACTGAAGCAGTCTTTTTCTTTTGGATACTTGTTCTTCACCGCGTCCCAGTTTTACATCGAACCTTTTATACTGCGATGTCTCTTTACTTCATGTACAAACGCCGGCTGCGTAAGTTTTACGGTCAGTTTGGAAAAGTTTGATGTATTTACGGTCAGTTGCGATAATTACCCCACTCCTAAATGTATCGTCATTTCGAGGGCCCATAAATGGAAAAATATTTTTGAGCGACCACAACTTCTTTAGTTTTAAGCATTTTGTAGCTTATAAGGGCTCGAGACACCCCGCTTTCGTTTAGAGTTTGAAACGTGACGTTTCTTTCAAATTATCTAAAATTGGCAAAAATAAAATCAATAGGTTTTTCAACGAATGTACAACGCAGTGCGTTGTAATTCGTTGAAAAACGCAATGTGACTTGTTTTCAAGTGGATTGTTAAATATTAAATAGTCGCAGATCGCAGAGACTATTAAATATTAAATAGTCTCTGCCAATCTGAGCACTTGAAAACAAGTCTCATTGAACGATAAAAAAAAACGCCGAGTATCCGCTGAATGCTTACCTGCAGAACGAGACCTTGCTTGACGTGAAGCTCACATTCATCAATTTGCTGGACAAAATGAACCAGTACATCGACCACAACATGCTCAAGGTGCGAGCAACAGCAGCCTGAATCAGAACTTGAGTATTGATCGTCTACCAGTCTAACCTATCTTTGTGGCATCACCAGGCGGATGCTCTGCCTTTCGCAGATCAAGACACTATGTCAGGAGGCTGCCCAGTATTCTTTCTGCTCCGTGTGTGTCAACTCGTCGTACGCGTCGCTGGCCCGCAAGGTGGGGGCGCTTGTCACAAAAGAGATGTTATTTTCTATTAAAACAAAGGTAATAACTTGTTATCTTGTTGCAGACCTTGGATGAACTGGAACACAGTAGCAAGCCGCATGTGAAGGTCTGCTGTGTCGTGGGCTTTCCGCTTGGTGCTGCCTAAACTGCCACCAAGGCGTTCGAGGCTCAGCAGTGTATTGACGCCGGCGCTGAGGAGATCGACATGGTCATCAACGTTGGCATGCTACGAGCTGAGGAGTTCGACTTCGTGCTCAGTGACATCCGCGCTATCGTGCGAGTGTGCAAAGAACGTGGTGCGATCAGCAAGGTCATCCTCGAGACTGCGCTGTTAAATACGGAGCAGATTCGCAAGGCCAGCGAATTGGCCATCGCGGCCGGCGCCGACTTCATCAAGACTTCTACAGGTTTCTCCTCACGCGGTACGTCTGTCAGCTTGCAATAGACGTTATCGGACGTGTTCCAGGTAGTACATGTAGCTCTGCTGCTAGCCGACTAACTGTTTCTGAATTTCAATCATGCAGGTGCCAGCGAGGAGGACATCAAGCTCATGGCAAGTATCGCTAAGCCTGCTGGAAGGCAGGTGAAGGCTAGCGGCGGTATCCGCTCAGTTGCTGACGCGGAAAAGATGATCGCGCTTGGGGCC